CCATTGATTTTTCCCTTTCATCGTCCTCTTAATTTCTCAAGCTGGTTTCCAGCAGATTCTCTTCAAGATAAAACCTCAAGATTTCAAAAGATCAGATTTCTAGTAAACACTAGAACCTAAAGCTCTCTTCAAAGATACAACTTCAAGTAATTAAAAAAAAAGATTTTTAATAAACAGTAGCATCTGATGTTGTCCAACCCCTACGTGGGTCCTATGTTTCTCCCGGTGACGAGAGCATTGTCATATTTTTCAGACAAAGCTTTAGAGTTAATGATGATGGAGTTGTTCCTAACTCTAGTAACTGATTTTATTTTAAGCTTTACTTTAAAGTTTATTTTAACATTTACTTGTCAACGGGGAAAACAGAGGTAGGTGTTGAGGTGCAACCGCGTCAATCCAAGGGTGCAATAGGGAGAGGGGGAATCGAGAATTAAAGGAGGTATGACATGTGGTGGTTAGATGATAAGAGAAGTGAACCGACTAATTTTGTGAGTTCAATAGAATTTGATAAATGGGAAAGCCGTCACCGGCGTGATGACCTAGTTTGGTGATTGATTTATGTTTTCTAAGTAAGTGTGAATAAAGCGTGCTGTATTTTTTAAAATTTTCAGTTTATTTCAAAGGGAAAATTGTGATTTTGATAAGCTGGTTGTTGATATGGTGGTGTTTGTGGTGGTTGGAAGGGAAGCAGGTAGGGGAGGCAGAGGCCAGAGGCGACGGGTCAAGGTGGTTGTGGATGGAGAAGAGAAGGGGTAGGTGGTGGGTCTGGTCCAAAGATTTAATGTGTATTTTTGATGTGGCTATATTTCATTGGTTACCTTGCCATGTAAGCACGATTGAGCTTCACACGCTTATTTTTTGTTGGGACCATATTTTTTGTGTTCAATAGACGCATTTTTACATTAGTTTAAGTGTCCAATAGGTAATAAGCTCAGTTAAAGTGTCTAAATGGAATTTCGTGACAAGTTTAAGGGGCTGGTTATGTATTTAGTGTAATTGGGTGTAATTATACAGTTTGGCATGTTTGTTTGGCCAAGTAATTACTTGGTCAGCATGGAATTGGGTGTAATTAAATGAGTGTAATTACACTCTCCAATTCTCAAGGGAGGGGGGAGGGAGGGGATGAGGATTGGTGGTAATTACACTGTGTAATTACAAGGTTACTTTTTAGTTTCTTGCCTTTTGTTTTTATTTTAATTTATTTTCTTTATAACTTTTTATTTCTATTATTACTTTTTAAATTTTATTTTTACTTTTTAATTTCTTTTGAAATTTTAAAATATATTTTTCTTTGTACATTATTTATCTTTTATTTCGCTACCTTTACTTCTTGTGATTCCGCGTAATGCTTATATTTTATTTTTTATTTATTTTATTATTCTATTTCTTGAAACTACACCTCATAACATTAGAAATAATGAGTAATTTTTTTTGGTTGAAAGTAAATTTTTGTTGCCTATCCAAGACCACTTGAGAAAATGTGGCCTTCCTCTATCCTATTTGCTATAAACTACAACTAGGCTAACTATTCAATGTATTCAACATAGGTCCCCATTTACATTTTTGTTGACCTGCTATATGCACTTGAATTGTAATGTCTTTAGCTCTATCCTTGGCTTCTCTTTTCTGGTTTAGAAATCTTCTACTATTTCTTTCCATCCAGACGTGATACACCACTGCTGCAAATATAATTCCTAGGATTGTTCTTCTTGGTTTCTGGCATTGACATTGGTTGATAACCAATTCACTTCTGACTCCCAGTTTGTGATGTTCCTTTGGTACCTTAGCCATGTCAGCATTCCTTTCCACATGCTCTTTGAGTATTGACATTCAAAGAATAGGTGGCCATGTGTTTCTTCAATATCTCTTTCGCATAGCACACATGATTGGGGCACCCCATTTTGTGAGTCTGTCTACTGTAGCTAACCTTTGTTGCACTGCCATTCATAGTATAAACTGGTGTTTAGGCATCATTCATGGCAACATAATGAGTGATTTCCATTGAACTTTGGGTAACTTGGCATAGAATGTGTATATGCTTTCTTGATACTATATTTTCCATCAACCACAAAAGAGTTTATCACTGTTAGATCAGATGCCCACCACTCTCTAGCAGTGAATATTTTCCTCACTAGCCAGCTGGCTTGCTTTGGAGTATTCATGGTAGCAACATCATTATATTTTATGTAGTGACTATGAATCCACCTAATCCATAGTTTATCTTTCTTTGCCATTATAGCCCATAGAAGTTTGGTATTCCACGATTCATAATTGATGATGTTTAGACCCCCAGCAGCTTTTGGTTTGCATAGAGTTTCCCAGGAAACTGGAGCTCTATTAGAATCATGTACTCCATCCACTCCATAGGTAACTTCTGCATATGCTATTAACTATCTTGATAACCTTCTTTGGAATTAAAAGTACCTGCGCCCAATAGGTTTGCATTTCAAACAAGACACTCTTAATGAGTTGAAGTATGCCAGCATATGATAAAAACTTTAAGGTCCAGCTTCTGATTCTATCTACAATCTTCTCAATTAGTGGCATGCACTGATGGATTGTGAGCTTCCTTGTGGATATAGGAACTCCTAGGTACTTGAATGGAATATTACCTAGAGTCATATGCAGTTCAGCTATCATTTTTTCTTTGAACTCCAAAGGCACCCATGTTATGTATAAGGAACTCTTATCCAGGTTTGCTTTGAGCCCAGAAACATCAGAGAAGTGTTCAAATGCTTCCATCATTAGCTTCATAGAAGTTTCATCTGCCCTACAACACATTAGTAGATCATCAGCAAAGCAGATGTGAAAAACTTGTAGCCTTGCACACTTAGGGTGGAAGTTAAAGTCAGAATTCTGGATGAGTGTCTTTAAAGATCTATTCAAGTATTCCATTGCCAGCATAAACAAATATGGAGACATGGGGTCTCCCTGCCGTAACCTTTTTTTTTTGCTTCAAACCTGTTAGTTAAGCCACCATTAAGCAATAATGTGTAACTAAAAGTTATTATACATTCCATGATTAGAGTTACCAGTTTATAGGGGATCCCAAACTCTAGCAATATTGCCTTTAGGAAGCTCCATTCTACTGAGTCATATGCTTTCCTGATATCAACCTTGATCATGCATCTAGGGGAGACTGTTTTCTGAGTATACCCCTTGATCAACTCATGTGCCATTATAATATTGTCAAGAATGTTCCTGCCTTCGGTGAATGCATATTGTGAAGGCCCTACCAACAGGTCAACAACTAATTTAAGCCTAGTTGTTAGAACCTTGGCAATGATTTTATAAAGAGTAGAGCAACAGGCGATAGGCCTAAATTCCTTGACATAAATAGGTTTCTGAATCTTAGGAATCAATGTGACTGTTGTGCAGTTGATTTCTTTCAACAGTTTACCAGTCTCAAAGAATTTCAGCACTTCTTCTGTGACTTCCTTTCCAATAATTGACCAGAATTCTCTAAAAAAACTCAGCAGGATATCCATCTATGCTAGGTGCCTTGTCACTAGGGAGGTTTTGCACAATATGAGCTATTTCCTTAGATGTTACAGGCTTTAGGAGCTGTTGTTGCTGGTTCATGGTTAGGCATGGTCCATTCCTGATTATACCGATATCAATACCTTGTAATTCAGTGGTTGCTGTACCTAGTAGGTGCTGAAAAAACTGAGTGAACTCTAGTTGTATCTGTTTAGGCTTTGATATTTTGATCTGTTGGTCATTGTAGATACAGGCAACTTTGTTCCTTGCTTGTTTGGCTCTCATGTAAGCATGGAAATATTTGGAATTGCAGTCACCTAGCTTGATCAATGTGGCCCTTGATTTCTGTCTCAATATTTGTTCCTGTATTGCTTCCCATTTCTCTATAAGTCCCAGTGTCATTCTTTCCTCTTCAATCAGTGAGTTGTTAAAATGGTCTCCATTAAGCTTGCCTTGCACCTCCTTCAGTGTTTCTCTCAGTTGAAATAGTTTCTTATCAACTAAAGAGTGTTCCTGTTGGAGGCCTCTAGTCTGCATCTCCACTAGCTTTTACTTCCTCCATATTGAGTACATTGTGTAACCTTGGATCTGCTAATCCCATGTATTCTGCACCACCTCTGTATATTATTGCAGCTTCATCACTGTAGACAGGAGTCTAAAAGGTTTTTTCACTTTTACCCTGTTAACTTCTGTGGTTATCATGATAGGTGAATGATCTGAGCAGCCTGGCAGCATGTAGATAGCTTCCACACCATTATATTGTTGAAACCAGTCAGCATTCCCAAATGCCCGGTCTATGTGGCTATATATTCTGATGTCTGCATCCCTCTTGTTACTCCATGAGAATTTGCAGCCTCTCTTAGTGATTTGCCCCACCCCAATGTCATCAATACACCTTTGAAAGTGGGTTGTCTCTGCTTGATTAACGGGGATCCCATTCAGTCTATCTTCCACATGTAGCACACTATTGAAACCACCTATTATAAGCCAAGGTCCATTAGTCTGTATGTTCCTTAGACTTCTCCAAAGTGAGGCTCTAGCATGAATAGTGTGCAATCCATATACAAAAGTTATATAGCTGGAAAATGATAAATTACTATCAGTGACAAAACGGTGTATCATCTGATCAGAACAATCCAATACTGTGACTTTAACATTTGCCTCTTTCCATCCTATCCAGATTCTTCCATTTGGTGCGTATGTATAGTTGTCTTTGAATTTCCAATCTACACAAACCTTCCTCTGAATTGCTTTAGCACTTTGTTATTTAACTCTTGTTTCTAGACAAGCTATTAAATCTACTTTATTCATCAACAAGAACTTTTTGAATTCTCGTTGCTTGTAGGACTTATTCAGTCCTCTTATATTCCAAGAGACAATGATCATGGAGGGTTATGATGAATAGGACTGGTTCTCTCAGCTGCATTTTGAGCTGCACCACTAGAAGATGCTCCTTGTTGACTATTGTTTGGTGGTCTTTCCAGTATTGTCAAGGGTGCAAATTTATTCCTTCTAGCTAGCTACTCATAGTTGATATCTCTATGGGTCTTCTTGCCAGCTGATCCTTGAATAACCACAGCTTGCTTGCCTCGATTAGTCACTTGTACCTCTACTACTGGTTCCTGTTGTTCAGGCTCCTTATGTGGCAGAACATCAGTTTCATTATTTCCTTTGTCATTTGGCTTTGGCTTCCATTCTATTCTTGTCTTCTTCTTCCTTCTCCTTTTATGTGGTTTTAGTTCATTCGCCTGTTGTATGTCTTGTTGGCAATTACCAGTACTATGCCCAAACTTATTACAATCCATACACAGTTTTGGTTTCCACTCAAATTCCTCTCTTTGCTCCCAGCTACTTCCATCTGGATTCTCAATGGTTATTCCATCTGGTAGTGGCTGTGTGATATCCATTTCAACAAGGATCCTAGCATATGAAATTCTTTCACATTGGGCTGTAAGCTTATCAGTGCAAATAGGTTTGCCTAATAGACTGGCAATTCGACCTAGGTTCTCCTCAGCCCAACACTGAACAGGTAGCCCAGGGAGGTTAATCCATATAGGAACAATTCTCATAGACTCATTTTGAATCTGAAAATCAGGATCGCAATCCTTCAAGACCATGGGTCTATTATTGAAGGTATAAGGTCCATTTTGAAAAATTTCAATTTTATCCTCCATAGATTCAAAGTGAAAAATGAAATAACCATCATCGTGAAGAAATATCATTTGTGTCGTCACTGAGTTCCACACTCCATAGACAAATTTGAGCATTTCCTTGAACGAAGGGTTTCCTCCTAGGACATATCCAATTAAGGTTGTTTTCCATTTCTTACATTGTTCCTCTATCTCTTTTGGGTTCAGCTTGGCCACTTTCACTCCATCCTTAACCACCAGAGGATAGAACTTCAGCTGCATGCCTCGTGTTTATACTCTGTTTCCTTTCACTACCTCAGACATGGTCTGCTTTGTACTCTGAGACACAGCTGAGTAGGTTAATTTCCTCGCTGCTGTCAGCAATCCTAGATCCGCGACTTGAACTTCCTCCTTCTCCGGTGGAGCTTGCATGACAGTAGGGGAACTCCCCATGCCTGGCGTCCAATGTAACAGTTGAATTGGGGCCAATTTCTGGGGAATACCTGTTTCAGGATTAATCATTCGATTCCTATTATCTACTTGAAGAGGTGATTGTGTAGGGAGGGGAAGGTGATTATTCCGGTGAGTCATCGTGAACGACGTAGGTTAGCTGACGTGCTCAACTTTCGCCAGAGCCTCTCTCTCTACATTCTCTCTCTAGATTCCATGTCAAAAAAATCTATTGAAATAATGAGTCATTAACAAACTTGACATATAAGAGTGATGCATTAAAGTGAAATTTCGTTGTTGAATGTGATTATAAACTTATTGTGTTCCTAATCTTAAGTTGTAGTGGAACTTAAAATTATTATGTTGGAATTTGACATATGTTAAACTATTTTTTATTTTATTTTTTGGATTTTGAATTTGTGTTATTTCATGGTTCCAATTTACTTGTTTTAGTAGTATTGGCTCACATTGCATGTTGTTCAATTTTTAGTTAGAATTGATAAATTAAATTTGTCAAACATTTGAATATTGTTATGACATTATATTTATAAATATTAACTTATTTTATCAAACATGAATTCCATGATGTTCTTACAAAACGTATATTTTTAGTTTTTGTAAGTATCTAAACTAAAAATTATTAAATTTTTAGTAAGTATATATATATATAGGCATATATTTTGATAATTACTTCATTTAAAATTTAATTTAACTGTGTAATTACACTTTTGCAACCAAACAGTAAACTTATAATTACATTGTAATTACACTATCACAAAAATCAGGTCGTCATAATTACACAATTGTAATTACTAGGCCGTGTAATTACTACCCTAGTAATTACACCAATTCCAATTACCTGGTGGCTTTCTAAACAAACCCTTAACATGGTATGTGGTGAGATGGCTAGGATCCATTTACCTTTAACTAAAGGTTTCAGGTTCGAGCCCTGCGTATGAAAAAAGTTCTGTTATGGAGCGTTTTTCCTTAAATGGGCCTTACAACGCGAATCCGTTTATAATCTGTCACGACCCCAACCCCGGTCGTGATGGCACCCAACACCATGCTAGGCAAGCCCGACCAATTCAACTCTCAATCCCTTTTTATTAAAAATTCAATGTCGATCAAGAGGAATAAATTACCAAACTGATGTGAATAGAAGTCTGAAATAAAGACGAAATGTGCGGAAACCATAATAATAATCTCTACAAAAGCCCATCGATCCGGTGTCACGAGTCAAAAGCCTCTAGTACATGAGTCCAATAGTCTAATACAAGAACAGTCTAAAAATGCGGGAAAAAAAGTAAAGAAAGATAGAGGGAGAAATCGGGTCTACGGATGCTATGCAGCTACCTCGATAACTCCGGTGAGATCTGAACTGCGGAATTGCTCGAACTACGCCTCAGGAATACCTGGATCTGCACACACGGTGCAGGGAGTAATGTGAGTACTCCGACCCAGTGAGTAATAAAAATAAATAATGACTGACAGTATGAAATGACGTAAAAGCACTAAGCAGTTCTATATCAAAACAGTAAGAACATTTAAACAGCAAATAATGAGAAAAAAAATCAGGAAAATTCCTTAAAACCAGTACTCATCTCATATACTCTTCACAATAACCGAATTCATAATTATATCGCTGCGGCGTGCAGCCCGATCCGTATATCACTGTGGCGCACAGCCCGATCCATAATAATAATCGACTGCACTCACTAGGGGTGTACAGACTCCGGAGGGGCTCCTACAGCCCAAGCGCTATATTGCTGCGGCGCGCGGCCCAATCCATATATATAAATATATACTTGCTGCGGCGTGCAACCCGATCCATATAAATATATTGCTGCGGCGTGCAGCCCGATCCATAACGTATAAAACATCCTCACTATTGGGTTCTCAACCCCTCTCAGTCAATATAAACATAGCCTCTCGGGCGTACTAATATAAGATAGGGATCTCAGCCCACATATTACCTTCGTTTCGGATTAGCAATTTCAAAAGCCAGTTCATATTATATTAATCAGTTAGAAACACGACTGAAGGTATGATTTTTAACAAGTAAAGTGAGGTCAATCAGTAACAATGCCCCTAAGGGTTCTACAGGTCGGCACAAGGCCCCAAACATGGCAACTAGCCCAAATCATAATGATAATAGTTAAATCTCAGTCAAAATGCAGTAGAATCATCAATCGGGATGGACCAAGTCCTAATCCCCAGTAGTAGTGGACCCCACGCTCATCATACATCGTATGTCTCACCTCAACATAGCACTACGTTGTGTGAATCTGGGGTTTCACACCCTCAGTACATCATTTATAATCATTACTCACCTCAAGCCGGCCAAACTCTAGCTCGCTATGCCCTTGCCTCTCAAATCGGCCTCCTCACGCATCGAATCTGATCAAACCCACAACGAATACGTCACAATACGCTAAGGAAACAATACCCAATCGAAAACAATCGAAAAATACCAAAAATCTCGAAATTAGCAAAACCCGAGCACCGGGCCTACTTCTCTAATCTCAGAAATTTTCACATCAACGAGTTCCTTATCTCGCCACGAATCTATACATATCAAGAACTCTCAAATCCGAGCTCAAAGGGCCCTTCAAATCCCAATTTAAATTAAAAACTCAAGNCGATAGCTCTCTCGCGTTCGCGATGGAAAAAACTTGCCTCTGACCAAATTACCCTTCGCGAACGCGAAGAACAATGCCAACGGGGCCCAGGCCCCTCCTACGCGAACGCGAGCCCCTAACGCGGACGCGAAGGCTTAGATTCCTGCCTTCCAATTCCTCCTTCGCGAACGCGAGGCCCTTTACGCGAACGCGAAGAGATAAATCTCTGCAACACCTGAAGTGAAAAATCTGCAATTCCTCAAAGCCAAAAATGATCCGATTGACCATCCGAAACTCACCCGAGGCCCCCGGGGCCTCAACCAAAAGCACCAACACCTCCCATAACATAATTCAAAACACCTCAAACAACACTAACACCATCAATTTTCATCGAATTCAAGCCTAAGTTCTTCAAAAACTTTCGAAATACGCATTCGATCAAAAACCTAACCAAAACACCTCCGAATGACCTGAAATTTTACACACACATCCCAAATCACTTAACGAAGCTACAGCAACTCTCGGAATTCCATTCCGACCCTCGGATCAAAATCTCACCTATCAACCGGAATTCGCCAAAATACTAACTTCGCCAATTCAAGCCTAATTCTACACCGGACCTCCAAAATTACTTCCGATGACACTCCTAAGTCACAAATCATCCCCCGAAGCTAACCGAATCACCGGAAATCACATCCGAGCCCTCTAACTCATAAGTCAACATCCGGTTGACTTTTCCAAACTAAGTTTTCCTTAAAGAGACTAAGTGTCTCATTTCCTTCTAAAATCAATCCAAACCAACTTGTTCACACAAGACATTGATAATGAAGCATAAAGCAGTAGAAAATAGGGAAATCGGAGTGGTGACTCATGATACGACGGGTCGGGTCGTTACATCCTCCCCAACTTAAACAAACGCTCGTCCTCGAGCGAGTCAAGAAACATACCTGAAGCCTCAAATAGGTGAGGGTATCTGCTCCGCATCTCCCGCTCGGTCTCCCAGGTAGCCTCCTCCACGGGCCGACCTCTCCACTGCACCTTCACCGAAGCAACATCCTTTGACCTCAACTTTCGAACTTGACGATCCAAAATGGCTGCTGGCTCTACATCATAAGTCAAATCACCCTCTAACTGAACCGTACTGAAATCCAGAACATGGGACGGGTCTCTAATATACTTCTGGAGCATAGAAACATGAAAGACTGGATGCACGCTCGACAAGCTGGGTGGCAAGGCAAGCTCATAAGCCACCTCCCCAATCCTCCTAAGTACCTCAAAAGGCCCAATGAACCGCGGACTCAACTTCCCTTTCTTTCCGAATCTCATAACCCCCTTTGTGGGTGAAACCTTCAACAGGACCTTCTCGCCAACCATGTAGGATACATCTCGAACCTTCCTGTCCGCATAACTCTTCTGTCGCGACTATGCTGTACGGAGTCTCTCCTGAATCACCTTCATCTTCTCTAATGCATCCTGGACCAAATCTGTCCCCAATAGTCTAGCCTCACCGGGCTCGAACCAACCAACTGGAGATCTACATCGCCTCCCATATAAAGCCTCATACGGCGCCATCTGAATGCTCGACCGGTAGCTGTTGTTGTAGGCAAACTCTGCAAGCGGTAGAAACTGATCCCATGACCCTCCAAAGTGAATAACGCAGGCGCATAGCATATCCTCTAATATCTGAATGGTGCACTCGGACTGCCCGTCTGTCTGAGGGTGAAAGGCTGTGCTCAACTGTACCTGAGTACCCAACTCTCGCTGAATAGTTTGCCAAAACTACAAAGTAAACTGAGCGCCCCATCTGATATAATGGAGACTGGGACACCATGCAACCGAACCACCTCCCGAATATAAATCTCTGCTAGCCGCTCTGAAGAATAAGTAGTACAAACAGGAATGAAGTGCGCGGACTTGGTCAGCCTGTCTACAATCACCCAAATAGCATCGAATTTCTTCAAAGTCCGTGGGAGTCCGGTAACGAAATCCATAGTGATCCTCTCCCACTTCCACTCAGGAATAATCATCTGCTGATGCAAGCCCCCCGATCTCTGATGCTCATATTTCACCTGCTGACAATTGAGACACCGAGCTACAAACTCCACAATATCTCTCTTCATCCTCCGCCACCAATAGTGTTGTCTAAGATCCTGATACATCTTTGCGGCACCCCGGATGAATGGAATATCGCGAGCTATGGGCCTCCTCCAATAT